CATATAAAAATAAATGTTAAAGTTAGAAAAGATAGATACTTTGAAATTGAACTTGGATAAATATTAGTTTTTTTTTTTTGGTTAAATTAAAAATATAGCATTAAATATAATTATATATTGAAATTATATTTTTTTTTTAATTTGACCGGTTCGGTTTGGCCCGATCCGATTTTTGAAGACATGGAACCAGATCCAAAATCTGTCCAAACCAGTCCAGTTCGGTTTTTGACCGGTTGTTGACTTTTTGGTCAACTCGTTTTTTTCTTGTTTGGTTCGGTGTGATTTGGCTCGGATTTCTGATTCGCCAGTTTGAGTGCCCACCCCTAATAGCTTCAGTCAAGAAATGGGCTGCGGAATTACTTTTAGAATGGGCTTTCTTTTAGAATGGACAATCTTCTTTTTATTATTCTATTTGACTATGTTTTATAGAATTTTGGTGCATTCTATATAGCAGTTTGACTAATCTTAATTGGGCCTAATAGAAAGCACTTTGTGTAGTAGTGTTATGGTAATGATTCATTTCTTATAAATACTATCTTAATTGGGCCTAATTGGGCAAAATAAAATATACACATTGTCTGTTGAACTACTTATTTAATATTTGTCCTTAAGCCGCAATGGGTTTGTAGCTCAAGTAGTTAAGAGTAGTTATCTTTACATCCGAGGTTATTTTCGAAACCCTTCACCCCAAATATCACATACATAAAATAATAAATAAATAAAAATCTGTCCCTAAGCCCACCATACACGTTACTTGGGTAGAATTTTCTATTTCAAAGCCCTATGCTTCTTTAGGCCCGAATTGGGCCCTTGTCAGGAAGTACAAAATAAACTCGAATCAGGTAGTATATCAAGTCCTTTGAAGAATACTCTAACAATTATATTTCCTGCATCAACCATCAAAATCCACCCTCCCTACCCAAATATATTATGAACAAATAATTTGATGAATTTAATTTTTACTCGATCACATTTAAGTATTGAACTGATTCATATTTCCAATGAGCTCGTGTCTCTTCTACAACTGTCGTCGTGAGATTTGAAGTCATAACCTCCTCCAATAAAGTGAAGCAACACATATCATTGCATTGGCTTGTATTGCATGTATATACACTTGGATCATGTCTGCTTAAACATTTTTAATATCTAGCTGTAAAAAGGCAATGTTAAACAAAAGATTGGCGTCAAAGAAAAAGAAAACATGAATTAGTCATCATTCAAGTAAAAGAATTAGGTGGTAAGTTTTTTGGCTTCATGTTTTTAAAGTATGACCTAGGGACATATATTATATCTAATTAATTAATTAATTAGCAATTTAGAGATGTTGCTTTTGACAAGCATAAACAATGTTGACTTTAATGCTTCCACCCTTTTTTTTCCACAACGGCTCAAAATTTAGCTAACAGATCAACTAGACCATATGATGTTGATTGTGCCGACACGGCATCCATTATTCTTGTAGTGGTGGAGAAATTAGCTCAATTTAATTAGTGATGTTAATAGATCAGTTAACTGTAAACATTACAGTCAAATCCTTGTTAGAAAAGTAATCTTGATGTATATGTTTGCTCAATTTAATTGTGCCATGTTTCTTACTGTTTCTTAAATGGTATTAAAAATTCAATCCAAAAAAAAAAAAAAGTGGTATTAAATACATTTTTTAACAACTGAAAATGTTTTTTTTAACAGTATTTGGCAGAAAAACTAAAGTGTTTCTGGGTTATAAAAGTACTTTCTAGAGAAGTGTTTTTCTAGTAAGCATTTGGAGTTGTAATAAAAATCTCAACGCTTCTAAAAAAGCAATTATAAGCGGAAGGACTTCTTACAAAAACCTGTCTCAAATGAGCCCAATACCTTAGCCAGTGATGTAAGCGGGTTTTTTTTCACTATTAATGAAATCGATAGTTTTGACACCAAAAAAAAAAGAGAAAAAAGAAAAAAAAAGCTAGGAAATCTATATAGTTCTACATTGCCATCTTTTACATGAGAAATGATCATTGTACGGATATATTTAATTAATTCTAATGATTTCTCACCTAAAAAGATTACCATGATAATTACCGTTAACTGCTGTTGTTATTATGTTGACATTAATATATAGATATCTTGAAGGCTAAGGCAGAAGCTAGAAGGCTAGGGTGAGTCATTAATCTACCAAGTGTACTCCTCGTACGTATTCAATTAGGAAAATAGATACAGGATTATGCATTAATTAATGAGATTTAATTCAAGTACAAAATCTTTTCAAACCTAACTCTGATGGGAGACCATGGTCATATGCTTTAGGTGATACAAGGAGTTACATGCAATACTTTATACATATGCATATTTGTTTATCTTGGCGCATTCACTCAAGACTTTCTATGCAAATATGAAACTAAAGCTTATGGCATATATATACATATACAGTTCTTCTTCTATACGGACATTCGAACGTTATTATAGTACAAACATTGTTGTAAATGGGGAAGAAAGTAAGAAGAGTAGTAGAAAATACATGACGTGCGGTAATAACATCCGGACGTCTTTAACTTCAAGCTTAACTTTAAGGGTGAGTTCTTAACAAAATTCCTAGAAGTAATCAATGCATACATTTCAATCTATATGTCGGGCAAAATGTTAGAAGACTGTCTTCGAAATTGTGTGCAAGTTAATCGTGTTGTGTTCCAATTGATCCAAATATATTGTGAACTGAAAACTATATGTCTCACTCTTTCAAAATGAAACTTGGCATCTTGAATCTTGAGTAATGTGTTAGTGTGTACGAGTCTGGATCAAATACTGGTCAACCCTTAACCTACTAACTTCGTGTAAATTAATATGAAACGGACCCTTGATAACACCAATTTGATCGAATATTATTGATTGATAGTCTCGGCCCCTACAAAATGTCAAATTTTGGCTTCAGCAATTTAGCCCCCATCCCATCAAGCCCTAGTCCGCTACTACTATTACTTTCGAGTTGTGTTATCATGCCATTTTAAAAAACACCACACCCCTAAATCTATTGGAATTTGAAAGGGTGACAACTTGTTAAGAATAGCATTCTCAAAAGAAAAATAATAAATTCGGTTTTACCTCTTCAAACTAATTATTTATCACTTGCAGTCCATCATTTTATTTTTCTATAAATAAAATCCGATGACTAGAAATCAACTCATCAATTTTTATAAGTAGGGTTTAGCTAGCTCCAATCGCCATCCCTATCAAAAGACAAAATATATACATAGTCCTGGGTATGTAAGCCAATGAAACCTTGGAGTTATGGTAGCAGTCTGTCCAATATCATAATTCCGAAAACTCTTTTGTGCCCCGGAAGTCCTAACCACTGGGGTCCCTCTCTTAATTATCATTTGAGATTCCCTGAATTATCGTCACTCCCTTGACTTAACATCTTGGTCAAACTTTCTCTTCTATCTCTCTCTATTAAAAGAGAAATTGCCTAAAAAAGAACTTCTGTGTTGAAAACAAGAAGGAAAACTTAGATCAGATTCCTAGCTATACAAGAGTGGTTGAAGGCGGCTCAGTTCGAAATTTTAGGTCAATCTCTAGCTTTATCTTAACGTATTAGGACAAGTTCACAAATTGCATTTCAAATGCATGGAATTAAGCTATGAAAAATGTATGTTTCTCTGCACGGTCTTCATCCTTTTCCTTGTAATCTTCTATTGATGGGAGAGAAATCATGGAATGTTGGCCCTTTTTTTCCTTTTTTCTAACCGATGGGATGTGTGACAAGACTCGTAAAAAATGAAATTTACATCCAATATCGGGTTGGGGTGACATAAAGTTAGACTTTAGGTCCCAATTAATCATTTGAAAGGTACATTACATTCCTATAGTTTGTAAGTATTTAATTTCACATTTCTAACCTTTTTCTTTTAAAATGCAGTGGAAAAACACAATGGCAACACTACCACTATAATGTGATATGTAAGTATTTGACCCCAAAAAAGAAGAAAAAAAGAAGTGATATGTATCTTATCCGTGACGACATAATTTGATCACCGCAAAACTTTGGTCTTTACTAGCATTAGCCACCGATTCAACAATGGGTAATATCGTATTGTCCAAACCAAACAAAAAGAAATGCCTCTCATTTCCTTTACAAAAAAAGGGCATGAATATGAAGGGAAAAAAAAAAGGAGAATTAAAAAGCCCTCTTGTAATCTTTAAAAGAAATAAACATGTTTAATTTTGTTGGACATGCCTAAACCTAATTAATTTGTCGGCGCACCCGAGCAGTACCCCACACGTTTGAACACCCACACAATGTATTTCTGACAGTTTCCACAACACCATGGATGGGTGCTGTTTGTGGTTGTGGTTTTTTTTTTTTTTTTTTTTTTTTTTTTTTTTTACCGGATAAAATTAGAAGTTTGTTGGTTCTAAATAGAATGAATCTTTCTGAAATATGTAGGGTCACACTATAATAAACTCACACTTCAACTGGTGGCTGTACAATTGGTGTACCCATCTGGTCTTCTGGCTCTGATGGTACTCGTGTGTGTGAGTTTTCTCTATAATACCCTTTTTAATTTTGGCCAAAAAAAATAAATAATAATAAAAAAACCGGGTATGGAGCAAATTGAAATATTTATATTGTTCAAATTATAAACACAGATTAATATTGTTCAAATTATAAACATAAAGGAGCAAATTGAAATATTTATCAAGTTCCTATATAAAATGCTTTACCGTATCAATTAATATTGGCTTGCATATCCCTATAAATTATTATATGCCATGCATATGCATGTAGTGAGATTTCAAAGCATTAGGTGATAATAAAGATGATGATGATGATGATGATGATGATGATGATAATAATATTAATTAATCTGCAGGAATGTTGGTTTGGTTCGGTTTCTTTTCTCCAACTGGCAAAACACGTAATTAAATATTATCAATCCGCTAGTAAAACAGATATCTCTTGCATGAGACCTATGAACGATTAATTATACATATTATTAACGAAGAGTATACATATAATTAACGAAGAGTATACATATAAATATATATTATCAGAAAATACACATAAATAGTAAGTGATCATGCAATTAGAAGCCTTTATCACACATCTCTACCTAATTAATTAAGCAATCTCATTGAAAAAAGAGTCCTCAAGAAGAAGCTCGGACCAAGCAGAATTAGCCACTCCTCCAAAGCTTGAAGTACTGCAAGCATCTCCCATGGTGTTGCTTATCGAAGTCTCTGCCACCGGAAGAGCCATAGAAGTAGGAGACGGAGTGGTGTTTGATGAAGAAGGAATGTTCCATGGATTGTTGGGAGAGTTTTGCCCTTGGCTCAAAACTGCAGCAAATTGATCTTCAGCTTGGTTAACCATGTCCTTGTTGTTGTTCAGTGAAGGTGTTTGATAGGTTTGCAAGTCAGGCATATGAGAGAAAGGGATTGAATTATGATCTTGGACTGGTTCGAAATTAGCTCCAGGATATTGTGGTGGGTTTTGATCCAACTGATATGAACAGAGAGAGCTCAAAAGATTGATGGTCTCCATGTCAGTGATATCATTTAGGTTGCTTGGGCTACCAGCTCCAAAGGAATTATTAGCAGGAGGAGGTTGGAGGAGACATTGTAGGTATTGGAGCCTAGCCATTTGAGCTGCTTCTGCTTGTAGTCTCACAGCTTGTTCATCCCAAGATGGGTGGCCTCCATGGTCCAGGAGCTCTTTCAAATTGACAAGAGCTAGAAGATGAGGCAAGCTAGAGAAGATATCGGTCCGAGGCCGGTGAGTCATCGGATCAAAACCCATCTGAATCAGCTTCTTCTTTAAATGGGTGTTCCAGAAATTTTTTATTTCATTATCCGTCCGACCGGGTAGGTGACTTGCAATTGCTGACCATCTTGTCAAGAACCAAAACAAAGAAGGGTCAGTTTATACATCAAGCAACAAGTATTTTTTTATTAAAAAAATGGATATATTTTCTTGCTAGATATCATATATTAGAAGAATAATCTACCTAATAATGATCTTGATTGACCAACAATATATACTGTCTCAACATATACAACGTTATAGAGGATCTGATTGAGTAATATATGCCACAATATATAAAATAATTAAGTTTGTGAAAAAAATAATATGAAGCCTACTTGTTGCCAAGGATGGAATGGAGGTTCAGAATTGTTTGTTCTTCTTCTTGAGAAAACTTCCCTCTCTTTATATCTGGCCTAAGGTAGTTTGTCCATCGTAACCTGCAACTCTTGCCGCATCTGTTTAAGCCTGAAATTATTTCAAGAAAAAAAAAGGACCACCCAGTTGAGAGAGAGAGAGAGAGAGAGTTTTATGTTGTGTACATGAGAGGATCAGTACCTGCAAGTTTTGGAAGGGCTCTCCAGCTTCCATGGCCATTTTTCTGAATGTATTTCATGAGCTTTTGATCTTCTTCAGGGGTCCAAGGACCTTTCTTGAGGCCACTCTCATCACAACAAGGAGACCTTCCCATTTTCTTTACCTAAGAAGATTTGGTTGCCTCCCTCCAATCCAACCATTGATAACACACCACTCTATTTATATACACCATCTTCCTGTCGCCTCCAATCACATCGAGGCTGACTGACGTGCTAGTCTCCTATTTGCTAGCAAAACAACTACACCCTTTTTCTCCTTGAAATGACAAATTTACCCTTCTCTGTGCTTCATGGCTCACTCGACATTATTTTGGTCTTGATATTGTCTTGATTAATCATAAGTGGACCATGGTTTATTTATTTATTTTTTATTTTCATTTTTTCGTGGGGGTTATATGGCCCCACTGCAGACATATAGCGACTAAAACAGTGGTGATGGATTTGCCATAAAAAACCCTTACTCGTCAATGATGAGGATTTTATAATTCATAGTGTGCTTGATTCACCAAAGCTTGCTTTGATAGTCTTGGGCTACGACAAATTGGAAAATGTCACATGAGCAGGTTATAGCTTGAGCACCATTAATCTTGGAATATATTTTGATCAAGTATAGTGCGGCGGCTCTCCCCTTCCTTGAATTATATTTTGAAAAAAGACATATATATCATACCCCATCAAGAAAAAAAACAACTTTATATATTCGTATTAATCTATAAGGAAACATTAAAAAAAAAAAAACGAAAAGAATCAAGTCACCCACATATCATATATCCATTTAGTGCATTTATCACTAAGTTCCGACTACTTTCACTAATAATATACAGAGTTTGATGTCTAGATGCAGAGAAAAATTATTTTCGTGCCACATATAGCAAGTGTCGTCTAATTAAAACATATACATATTTTGATTTAATTAGACGGTATATGTATGTCACCTAGCCTGTCAAATTCCCCCACACAATTTTTTCTCTTACATTTGGTCAGCCTAATATGACTATCCAATTTCTTCCATTTTTGCTTCTTAACAGTCAAATCAGGAACCCGGTCTAAGTGTGGGAAATGGAGAAAAGAGAAGGAAAAGAAAAGAAAAGAAAGGGGTGAGTAAATTTATGAAATTAATGTATTATTATAAATAGCTGAGTGAGTAGCTAGAAGTCAGCAACAGGGAACAGGTGGCACGTCATCGGTGGTTGGAACTTGGAGGAACTCATTCCATGCACGCAATGAAGAAGAAGGCCCTTATTTCGTCATTGATTGCAGTGCATGGAATGGAACTTGTCATAATAATTATAAACTCACGTATAAAAATGAAGGAATTAAATTAATGGGGGCCCTCTCATTTCTGAAATATTTGGCCAGCTTACGCATCAGCTCAACTCAAATATATACCCACTCTCCTCTCCATTTGCCTTCACCACCTCTCTCTCTCTCTCTCTCTCTCTCTCTCTCTCTCACTTTCTCACCGGAAAACAAGAAAAAACCAAAGCTAATTATCAAAAGGGGTTTAAGTACTACTTTAGTCCCACTTAGATCATGTTGGCCCAGATTAGCTACTAAGTTTTTTGGTGTCTTTAATTCATGTTTATCTTATTTTATTGCTGGGAAAATGGATAGCTTGCAAGCTCCAGCCAGGTTGTGAGAATATATTAAAAAAGAAGTTCTACAGAACCATAATTAGGTGAATTATTCTTCATTATTGGGATAGGTTAGGATATAATGTAAAAGAAAGAAACTAAATTGAAAATGTTAAGATGGAAGATAACAAGAAATAAAAAGAAAAATATAGATATGGGATATATGTTAACTTATGCTATCATAAAAGAACTCAATCGGTTTAATTAAATGCATTTTCATTTTCATTTTCATTTTCATTTTCAAGATGGATAAGGTCATGGGAGTTTTTATTTATTTATTTATTTATGGTAAACGATAGAATATTATTGATGTGAAGAAAGTAATATAAGAAGTCTAAACCCCTATCAAGGTCAGGGGAGTTTTTTTTTTTTAATGTATGCATGCATGGTATGCATATATACAATATAATTTTACCCATTTGAAAAACATTGTCAAACATAGCCTAAGTATTTGTCTACCATAATTAATGGTATCACCCACTGACATAAAGTTTTGGACCAACTAATGAGCCATATGCATGTGGTAACAAAAAGATAATTCCAAAACCGGATAAGAAACTTAATTATGAATGTTTATTTCCTAATTTTGAGATATTAATATGCCTAAAACAGATACAAGTTAAGGTTCATATATATAATTTTATTAAGACATATTTTTTTCATCACACCATTTTTAACTGTTAATTTATTTTAAAGGTTTTTTAGGTTTTAGACATAAATTTTTTTTCACTTTTGGAAAAAGCCAAAGCTTTTTCAAAAAAGACAAAAAAACCACTCAACTTTCAAATTAAAGACATGCAAATGTATTGGATTCCTTAGGAAATCTAAAAATAAATAAGGGCATTTTTGTTCATTTTTGCTTCTTTTAAACTATTCATATTGGAAACCCTAGTCTCCTCTTAAAAAAAAAAAAAAAAAGAGTATTTTTACTCACCACTTTAATCCAGGATGTATGCTTACTACCATTCTTAATACTTGACATGTGTTCATAAATATAATCATGGTTACATAAATCAAAGTAAAAAATTAATCATGGTTTATGCCTATGAACACGTGTCAAGTATTAAGAAAAGTGGGAGCATACACATTGTGTTAAAATGATGAGCCAAAATATTTTCTTAAAAAAACCCTCTCTAGCAGCACATACCTTAAGGGGGGAGGAGGTGACTATTCCTTCTCCTCCCATCTCCCCTCTTCCTTCCCTCCTCTCTGCTTTGATACACAAATCCTCCTCCTCTCCCAAACTTTTCCCTCTCTTGTTCTTTCATCTCCTTCCCACCCCACCTCACCTCCCCTCCCTTCTTACCCACCCAACCCCTCACCTTCCCTCTCTTCTCTCTTTTTTTTCCTTTTTTTTTTTTGTTGTTGCTGCAAATATAGAGTTCAGGCTTTTGATTTGCTTGGGGACAACGTGGCTGCCTTTGTTGGTTTTACTGGGTCGTTTTTTAGATCTTGAGTTCCAACTCTTGATTTAGTTCGTGTGTTTTTGTTTTTGTTTTTGTTTGTAACAAGTGCATCAACCCTTTTTGAGTTTGTTGTGTGTTCGTAGTTTCTTCTTGTAATTTTTTACTTGTGAGAGTCTAAAGATTTTAGTTTGCAATCGTAGTTCTGTGCGTTGTGGTCTATGCTTGACTTTTGCAAGCTTGCAACTTTTTTGTCGGGATTTATTTGGCCCTTTATGGCTATGTGTGGAGATACACTTGTGCGCCTGAGGTTGCCGGTGGAGTTCTCCTTATGTAGATTAACCCTTTGTAGTTATTGTGGTTCCATATTTGTAATAACATTGTGTGGTTATCTGTATTTATACTGACTTTGTGTCTGAATTAAAAATGCAATCTATCGTCTTTATCTATATATATATATATATATATATATATATATATACAGAGAGCGTCCATTGAGGGATCTCACAAAAA